TTTCACCCTTAGAAAGAAATTCCCATTTTGAAGGGCATAGCACAGCAATCCGCAACAATATGTGACATTGATATTAACTACAATAAAACTGCAGTCTTAATTCCAGACTTAAAATGTCAGATCATTTTGTATTATCTATTTTCATCTTTGTGTGAAGCCAGTTATAGAATGTTTAACAGTAACTTGTGCTGTACGTGTAAATGTCCTTATCAACTAAATGATGTAAAACTTTCTTAAAGTAAATTTAGTGTTCGCTTATTTATAACTTCTGCCATGTGGTTTCATGTGGTTTTCAGAATATTGGAAGTGATGTACTGTACCTTGTGATATATCAATTTTAACAAATTCTAGTCTTCATGCTGAGAGAGCACTACTTGAGAGAGCACTTGAAAAGTTTCAGAGTCTTTGGTTTACTCGGAAGAAAGGAAGCTGGAACTGTTTGTTCGTGGTGCCTTGCAGGGACTCACATCACAGCACCTCCCCATCGTAGCTTTCACTCGGTTTGGATGCGTGGCACATCCAAGGCGGCCAGAGCTGTGGGAGAGCTGAGTAAAAGACTGAAGATACACTGGTGCTTTGATGAAAAGGTCAGTTGGCTGGTCCCTCTCTCAGAAAGCTTACTAAGCTCCAAAAGCCAACTTTGTAACATATTTAAAACAGCTATTTTCGCTTATCTGGAATGTAAAAAGAAAGTATATAAAAAGAGTGTGTGCGCTTCCTGAATAAAAAGGAGCCCAAGTTGATCGAAATGGTGGCGTGCTTATTTCTGGGCAGCAGCCTCATAGTGACACTTTGGGCCTTTGGAGAGGGGAAGTGATGTTTGCACAAAGTATTTCAACACCAGAGCACGTGTGGATGAACGTGACTTAGCAAGTAGGGATGGCTCACCAGTCACCCAATCATGTTTTTCCTATGGACCAATCTGCTGGCTGCAACCCAGTCTCAGGCTGTTTAATTTTATGTGATTTTGTTTTTGTATCTCAGATAAATCAGGTACTAATATTTACACAGTTAATATTCAGAAATGATTATTAATGCTGATAGTTAAACACCTCCAATGAAATATTTAGAACAATGAGGTTTTAAAGTGTCTTAAAACATTTAGCACCATGCTTGACATGTAAAATGATCCACAATAAACAGAAATTTCCTTTCCTCTCTTTTCTTTATATTTTACATTAAGAAGCTGTCCATTGTAGGTAAATCAGTATTTTAAAAGTATAAAGGGATTAACTTTTATACCTGGGTCTCTCTAACTTTCAGTCACCTACAGTGATTAACACAGGTGTGATACTTGCTTTCCAGTAACTCGCCTACAGTGTGTGGCCTCTCCTAATGGTAGAAAGAGAAGTGAGGTGTGCATTTTTATTTGGCACTTAATGTTTTAACAATGGCAAGGAGAGCTAAGCTAAAATGTTTTTATAATTTTTTTTTTTTTTTTAACTTATGAGGCTCATACCAACCTTGAGAAGCTATGGTTCAATTAGTGAGTTAGAAAGATCATCCTTCAGTTCTCAAATAAGGGTAGCTTTGGGGATTAAAGAATGTAAAAACTCATTTCTCTTTCCATTTCTTTCCTCTTCCCAAAATGAGTTTTTGGGGGAGGGAGGAGTAGGGAACTGTTACATATAAATCTGGTTTATTTAATAAGTTCACCAGAACAGAATCTTAATGCCATTATAGTTAAGGCTCCCAAGTATTGGGCCAAGTACATACTTGGTTCTGGATTTGAGGCTCCAGATTTCCCAACTTCTTAGAGCAGCTTTGCATTGATGTGGAAATAGGGTGAAGTCACTTAACTCTGAAAACTGTGTGCTGAGAAATGGGTTTGGCAAGAATGAGCTGCTGACAACCTTGCTGTTCCGTTTTGTCCCCTATTGGTTCCTGTATTTTCCCTTTGAAATCGTCGTTTTTAACCCAGTAACCTTGCACAGTACCCGAACCATTTCAAATTTTGAGTTACTTAAATGTTATACTAAGAAACTGTTTTTAGTTGTACACACACACACATCGAGTTTCACAAATGTTAGATTTTTTTCCTCCCTTTTGACTGCAAAATAAATGAAAATTTTATGCATTCTGTTGGGATATTTTTTTAGTAGTATACAATGTATCACTTTATTGTGAATAATCCCTGAAGGTGGAGATCAGTCCTAAATAAAGGGCTCTAATTACTCCTTGTGTTCCTCATACCCCCTTTCCCACCTCAACAGGTGCAGAATTGAAGACTCAAGTTCAGATCTGTCATTTGAAAAGGGACCTCACATAACCTGTTTTACCTTTATTATTGTTATAATTATATGCAGGCAGCCTGAGGCATTTGTAAAAATAGATTGTAAAGAAAAAAAAAGGCAAATTAGCATTAAATGTCAAATGAATGGTTTCTGGTACCTTTTACCATGGGTATGATGCTTTGGGAAGTCAACTTCTTGACTGTTGTAAGATTTTGAAAGGATTATTCCATGAAAGAGATTTGGAAATAGTGTTTCTTAGCACGTATACAGAAAAAAAAAAATACACCTTCACATTCCTGATCTCACCTTAATTTTTTAAAGTGTGATTAGCAGTGTCAATAAGGTACCCAGCCACAATAGGATAAAAAAGTACATGTAAAGCTAATGTATCAGGTGGAGACCAATTTAATGTGTTTCTCTTTGAAGCAGAAATGGACAAAACATTAAGCACAATTAAGGATGTTGCTCCGAAGTGAAACAAACCAATTAATGTGGTCAGTGTAGAATGAACTCTGCCACACTGAGCCTCCTTTAAGTGCCTTGTCTTAATGGATGAATGGGAACAAGACATAAGGATTTAATTTTATGTTGTCCCCCACCACCAAACAGAGGTAAGGTTCCACAAAGTCACTGTCATTATCTATTTAAAAAGAAATAGGCCCTAGCCAGTTTGCTCAGTGGTTAGAGCATCGGCCCATGGACTGAAGGGTCCCAGGTTTGATTCCGGCCAAGGGAACGTACCTCAGTTGCAGGTTCGATCCCCCAGCCCAGGTCGGGGTGTGTGCAGGAGGCAACCAATTGATGTGTCTTTATCACATCGGTGTTTCTCTCCCTTCCACTCTCTGAAAAGCAATGGAAAAAATATCCTCAGTGAGGATTAAAAAAAAAAAATAGGTTGCTTCTCAGAAGAGTTTTGTTTAAGCAAGGTAACTTGATTGAGGATACCTGTACTCCCAAACTTTACACAGGACAGAAAATACCATCTTAGAATAGTTTGGTACTGTTTGTTTTTAAGCGAGGGCTTTTTAAAAGAGGTGAATGTCAGAATCAACAAGTTAGGTGCTGGTCTCTGAGGGTGCTGGTAAATATCCAGGTTTCTTTATTCTCCCCCCTTACCCATTTCATTATTTAGATTGATTATAATAATATTAATGCTGAAGTAGCTTTGTTTTATTTAAGTTTTATATCCTGTTAAAATGTTTTTTAAAAAGCATTAATAGTTATGACTGAAAAGAGTTTCCTCTCCAACAGTATTATTTTCCCTCTTCCAGAATCTGTATTTTTGCCTTTACCAGGTTTATTTCAAGGGGGGAAATGAGTAGGTGTGTGATTCCAATAATACTAAAAGTTCATACTGTTTAAATATAATTATACCTTGACTACAAAATTTTAAGGTTATTTTTATTTACAAGTTTTGAAAAATGTACATTTTTTACATGGGTTACTTGTGCAGTTAGATTTAGAAGAGTGATAAACGCACACAAGGTGACAATGGAACATTTAGACAAAACATTTACAAGCCTTGTCCCACACTGCTACTTAAAGGTACTGTCTATTTAAACGTATAAATACTCAAAGATTGCAAACGTGGACTTGAAGGTTCTTAGAACACTGAAAGGGAAGAAGAAACTAAAGCATGCAGCATGAACTCAGGATTTGCGTGGAAAATAGTTTGCCACAGATATGCTCCTTTCATTAGGTTAATTAAAAGTTGAAAAACTGAGGGGAGATTAAAGATTAAAGGATCACCTACCTTCCCCACATTAAAAACATGAGTTTCCATTCCTCTGCTCCCACACCTCTTTAAAAAGCAAAACCCCAGAAGACTTCCAGTACAGTCGTCCCTAGGTATCCATCAGTACACGCACAACCACCAGAGGCTTAACTACCTAGTAAACATCAGTGACAACATACCACCACCCCCCCTGAATATTTTCAATTTGTGGTTGGTTAAATCTGTGAGTGTGGAACCTGTGGATACAGAAGGCCGACTGTAGCCTGAAACTTCACATGGGTGTGCCCAGTGACTCTCTTGCAAGGAGAGGATGTGTCAGTCACTACAATTGCTGAATTCCTTTGGCTGAGCCCTTTCACATTCTCCTTCCTACCGATAAAAACCACCTCGTAGCCCCACCAGCGTAGCTCAGCAGTTGAGCATCAACCTACGATCGAGGTTTGATTCCCGGTCAGGGCACAAGCCCGGGTTGCAGGCTCTATCCCCAGCAGGAGGCAGCCGATCAATGACTCTAATCATTGATGTTTCTCTCTCTCTCCCTCTCCCTTTCTCTGAAATCAATAAAGACATGTTTGTTTTTCTAAAAAAAAAAAAATTCACCGTATAATTCATATTGGTTAGATCTTAGAAACATAGCATTTTTAACTTTCATCTCTCAAAATGGATGTCTATATGGACACTTCCCTGTTTTCTATAGGCCATATTCCAAACATTCCCTTCTAAGTCCAACATGAGTGTTTTAGCCAGGATGAAGCACTTCAGCAGTCATTTTGTTAAAAATCACATCCTGGTCATCAAGCCATCAAGCTATGACTTGTATAACAATTCATTTAAAACACTTGGTGTAAAGAACGGTAACAAAATACTGCCCCAGAGCTGGAGATGAGATGCAACAGAAAAGGAATGAAGCATTAGCAAGTTTTGCACGTAACCCAGGTACAGTACATTTGATCTCATAGAGGGTGTTTCTGATGCTCGAGAAGATAGAAGGGGTAGGAAAAGCTTGGCGAGGGAAGATGGAAACAGCAGAATAACTATTTTGCTTTTAATGAAGTAAATGTAATGACACTGAGGAACAGGAAGGTGACAAACATCAATATGTATGTTTCATATGCCCGGCCTCTTCTGCTGCTGCACCCGAGTCAACAATCACGCCAGCTCTGTTCTACTATCGCAGAAACACGTTTTTCATATTCCCGCTTGTTCTCCTGATACAGCTGAGCGGCCTGGCTGTTTGCTGGGCTATTGGGATTGGGCTCATCCAATAGAGACTAGAAAGACAATTTGTAAAAGGTCAGTTCCTAGATGCGACATACATATATATGTATGTATGTGTGTGTGTGTATATATATATTTAAGACAGCCAATTGTTCTAAATAACAGCTGAATTTACTCTCAGCATACTAATCTAGACTTACACTAATCTGCTAGTAGCTGGGCAAAAATATATATATTCTGTTGGCTTAGGTCCTAATGACCTACTTTTTACCTTAAGTTATGACTTTCAAAAACAATTCAGTTGCTAATACAGATATATAAAAAAGCCCATAGTTAGTCACATGAAGGAAAAACTCACTTGTATTGATGTTAAAATGGAAGACACATCGTAAGTTGGACTCCAGCGGTTCTGAAGTATGTCCAGACATATACTACCGTCTGCATAGACTAAGGGCAGAGAAGTATGCGTGTTAAACATAACAAAACCATCATGGTTTTAACAGCATAGTTAAGACAGAGATAGTCAAGAATACTTTGCTTCTGAGGTTTAACAAGATTTCCTAAGCTATTCCTTGGTTACTTTCCTAACGAGTCTTAAGCATTACTAGTGAAACAATCAGGATAGGAGAATGTCAAATGTAATCAGTATAAAACTGGGAGATACTTAGTGATCCTTCTGAAAAGAGTGCGCCATTATCCAGGAAACCGTAAACATTTTCTAATAGGGTCCCTAGCCATCCTGTGAGAAATTCATTCCATCAAATTTGTAAACTCTATCTCCTATATGAAATGACAATCCAATATCCTAGAAAATATTAACCTGGATAAAAGGCAAGTTGTTCTAGGCTTACTACTAGGGAAAAAAAGAAAATGTTAAGTTAGAATCACCTGTGGTGCTTTTCCCATATACTACTGTATACCTGGCCCTTGACCACAGAATCCGATGTCCAGTAGGTCTGGACTGGGGCTAGACCATCTGTACTTGTTAAGTGTTCTATGGTAACTCTGATCTACACCCAAAGTTGAAAACTATTGTCTTAAACCAGGGGTAGGGAACCTTTTTTCTGCCAAGGGCCATTTGGATATTTATAACATAATTCGCGGGCCATACAAAATTATCAGCTTAAAAATTAGCCATGAAAAAAGCTCCTAGATTTATTGAATTTCGAGGCCCACCTGTGGTTGCCTTGGCAGGGCCAGACCAAATGATTTCGCTGGCGGTATATGGCCCACAGGCCAGACATTCCCCACCCCTGTCTTAAACACTAGTGAAAAAATTACAACACAAGACTACCCAATCTGGCCTAGCATTAAAAGGAAACCTCAAGAGCATCCTGATTTTTGTTTAATAAGTAAATGATAAAGATAATCAAAATCAGGAGACTCTCAGACTCCAAGCAAAGGCAAAGCAGCTCCCCTGCTTTCATTCTAGGATTATAGCTGAAGACGGCAACAGAGCACCATGAGCACGTTCAGTTTTCAGGAAACAGCATGATGCCTAAATACTCAGGTACCACAGACAAATCCCTAGGAATGCAGAATACCTCCCTAACAAACGGTGCAGTGGTTTAAAATACTGTAGTAAAAGTGATACTTGCCATTTGGATGAAACATCTTAGAGACAAATCTAACCGTAGGTGGTTTATTTGGATATTCCTCAGTGAATTCTATTATAAGCTTAAATGTTCCTGTAGTTAGAAAAGACAAGTTTAAGAAAACATAGTTATCGCTTTGTTCAGTAGTATTTTGTTTTCAATGCTATGTTTTGTGACTTTTTTTTAAGTGTTAAATGAAATAATGCAAAGATATAGGGAGACCAGCTAAAAGATACATCTCCAGGAATTGCTCTAAAAATGGACAGGTATTGCCCAGCCAGTGTGGCTCAGTGGTTGAGCAGAGACCCATGAACCAGGAGATTACAGTTTGATTCCGTCAAGGCACATGCCCAGGTTTCGGGCTCGATCCCCAGTAGGGGGTGTGCAGGAGGCAGCTGATCAATGACTCTCATCCGATCAATGACTCTCATCATATCAATGACTCTCATCATTGATGCTTCTCTCTCTCTCCCTCTCCCTTCCTCTCTCTGAAATCAATAAAAACATGTTTTTAAAAAATGGACAAGTATTGTAAGAACCACCACGCAAAGGTGATTTGTTTTGTTTTGACATTATTTTCTGTCAAACTTAAAAACAGTCATCTTTAACTCAAAATTACTACCTGAACACTGTGCATTTTGAAGGCATCTTTAAAATGACAAGAAACTAGCCCCGCCAGGCGTGGCTCAGCGGTTGAGCGTCGACCTGGGATCCAGGCGATCAGGGTTCGATTCCCGGTCAGGGCACATGCCCAGGTTGTGGGCTCGATCAATGACTCTCTCATCATTGATGTTTCTACCTCTCTCTCCCCCTCTCCTTTCCTCTGTCTGAAATCAATGGAGATATATTTAAAATAAAGTAAAATAAAATGACAAGAAACTAGAGCCAAAATTTGGCCTTCTTTCTTTAGAAAACTGGAAGACCTTAAAGGCCTGTTTGAATCAGCTGCCATATTAAGCTCTCCAGAGAGTTTAAGTAGACTGGAGAGAATGGGGTTAAAAGGGTTCAAAAAGCTAGAAACACAAATAATCAAATTATTTTTAAAATAGAAGGCAACAGGCATAAAAGTGTTCACTGGTTCCTTTTCATATATAATGGCAACTCTATAATGAAAATGTAATTGAATGTAAACCAGAAAAAAAGTCACAGTCCTTCTCAAAACCCTTGAGTATGATTCACAAAGTACTTCACTATAAAATCAACTCAATCATTCACACTAATGGAGGGAATTAATGGCAGAAATAATTTTAAAAGTGCATTAGATTACGTTCGTGTCTCCAGAAAATTTATCTTTCTAATGATGTTAGTTTAGGCCACTACTGAAAAGAATTTATTTTTCTTGAACATGTGTCAACTAAGATAGCAGGAGGCCCTAAAGCATACTAGGTTACAGACTTATAAGGAAAGGACAAACTAGATCTCATTCAAGACTTGTAGGATGATGAGATTGAGGAAATTATTTCCTTCAAAATGTTATTTTTAATTTGGTTTAATAAATTCAAGAAAACAGTTGGGCAACTATTTTTCCCTGACTGAAATCTCTTCAAGTAAACTTGTGGAATCAGTTACTATCTGGTATAAGGTGATGCATATTCTACTGTATTACTCAGGTACATGAAATAAATCACTTATTCTATCTAATACAATAGGTCACACTTCAGATAAGAATGTAATTCGTTACTGATTCCTTCAGAGTAGGCAATTTATTTTCTTCTGGCTTCCATCAATAGGTTTATTACCACTTAAGTAAGAAAAGACTACAATCGTTCAACTGCTAATTGTTTCAAAGAATAGTACCAACAAGTTTAGTTTCTACCAGCAAGCTCATAGGAAACAACTTGCTAACAAAGTTGCCCTTCGTATGAACATATCACAAGGTTTCAGACTAATTTAAAATGCAACAAATAGAGACATACCCAAAAGGCTGCTGCTCCCTAAGAACAGAGTAAAATATTCTGGACTGGACAAACATGCTCTAGTCCATCAGAACATACTTCACAGTTATCACCACCTGGACATAAATCTCCCTCTTTTTGAGGAAGAAAGCATATTCTTCCTTTTCAGTACTACTGATGTTATAATATGCAAGAAAAAGTGGGCATCAGCGTTAGAGTTCCAAACTTTGAGCTGCTGTACGTATCTCAAGTGTAAACACATTTGGCTCGATGCTGAAATCTGATTAAATTACAGGTGAGAGATTTATCATTAAGGAATTGCTCTAAAATTGGGCAGATTTCATAGCACATGGCACTCTCAGGTACTTTAAATTAAAACAACCATTAAATATAATACCTAAATGTAGTAAAGCAACACACAAGGCAGGCATAAGTGGAACTCTGCAGTCACACAGACCTAGGCTCAAATCCTGGCTTTGCTACTTACTAGTTGTGAAACCTGGGGAAGCCACTCAACCTGGCTAAACCTCAAGTTCCTCATCTGTAAAATGGAGTTAATGATAGTACCCACCACATAACATTGTTGTAAAGTTTACATGAGGGAAATATGCAGTGACACAAAATAAGTGCTCTATAAATAATAGTAATTCTAAACTTCAAAACCCAAACTTCACTATTAGTACGAAATATACAATTAGTGGATTCAAATATTAAATAGTACTTTATTTCTGAACTACATCAAACACTCACAGTTAAATGCCAGTTGAGTACCTATGTTGGTGGCTCTCAAAACCCTTGACTTGAGCTTTCCGTCCAATACTTGCCCAGAAGTTCAACAAGGTGCTTACCTAGCTAGCTACCCAAGAGTCAAGCCTTTTAAAGCGGTTCATTTAATATCTTGAGAGGTGAAACAACCTGTTTATGTCTACCTGAATATAAATTAGGACTTACCCAAATCTTATTCAAAGTATGTATTTAAAAGGGGATATTTCATATTTCTAGCCACATTAAATGATCAGAACCTCTTTAGTACAACCCCCAGTGCAGTTTTTGAGATGCAAAACAAATGTTAAAGAAATTTAAAATCCTAGAACTAATATTACACAATCGAGGCTAGAGCTTATCCTCTGAATATTTAGATGGCGAGGCTTTAAAATAACTGAAAACTTAAACCTGTACTGACTTGGTTCAAGTCCCTGAGGAGGCCAAAATATTGTAAGGAAAGTATCAATTAGTCCATCCATACATAGGAACCAGGAAAACTACATAAATGTATTAAATGACTGGTGTATGGCAATAGGGAGTGATATGGTTAAACTAACAAGTTTATGTTCTGCTAAAGACATTCACAAATTCAAAATTTTGAAAATATTGTGTTGGCCAAAGAAAACACCTCTGTAGACATTTTCTGCCATTTTGCCATTAGATTGTGACCCCTGAAAAGAAAGCAAAGTAAAAAAAGATAAAGAACTTATGGACACAGAAAACAGTGTAGTGATTGCAGGGGGAGGGTGGTGGGTGGAGGTAGGAGAGGGGATGGGGGGGATAAATGGTGATGGAAAAAATAAAATAAAGAGAAAAAAAGAAAAGTACATGTACTTAAAACATTTTTTGATGACTAAAAATTCAAATTTTTAAGATAACACCCAAATACTCTATCATAGGATTTATTTACCTTAAAAACATTCTTAGTTGCTTTTAAGTCATTCATTTTTTTAAAAAAAATCTTACACCCAAATTCTTAAGAATACATCTATTATGAAAAGCAAATACTAGTATCTTCCTGTGTCTATTAACAAT